CAGCGCCCACGGTACAGGGCCTTGGAAAACTGAGTACCCTTTCCAAACTAATGTCGTGCTTCATTGATAAAGTACAAGCTGCCAAAAAACATTTCCTTCTGTTTCTTGTTTAGTCTTCTTTGATTTACCAGTGATCTTACAAGACTTTGCAAGATTTGTAAATGTTTTGAGCACACACTTCTTAATTGAAAAACGAAAAGTTCCTTTGCTTTTAACTAACCTTTGTGAAATCAGCCTGGAGAAGATCCTGTACGATCTCAGTTGGTGCCGGTACGCCAGAAGACATATAGAACATTCTTGTTATCAACATCAAAGGGATTTATGAAGTTTAGTTACTCTTCTAAGTGTTGTGGGAAAGGTATTTGCACGGATAGTCCTTAGCCGCTTGAAAATCATTGCCGATCGAGTATACAGTGACTCTCAATGTAGTTTTCGTGAAGGCCGGTCAACAATTGACATGATTTTCGCACGGAAACAAGTTGAGGAAAAATATAGAGAGCAGAATATGCATCTTTATGTCGCTTTCATAGATCTTACGAAAGCGTTTGATCTTATCAACCACAAGGCCTTTTTCCGCCCTTGTATTCAAAATGGCGTAAAGCTAGGATGTGTTCTTGCCCCTACCCTCTTTGAGATATATGTTGCTGTTATGCTGAATCATACCTTTAATTCACTACCTTCTGATTGTGGTATTGCTTTTCTAACTCGCACAGATGGAGGTCTCTTCAATCAAGCCCGACTTCGTGCTAAATCGAATACTCGTCTTGTTCACATTCAGGATCTACTGTATGCGGATGATGCTGCATTTGTAGCTTATTCTGGTGAAGATCTTTAAGCTATTATGACAGTATTTTTATCAACTTGCCAGAAGTTTGATTTAAAAATCAGTGTTGCGAAAACAAAAGTCATGCACAGTAACAACATCACTAACTCTACCACTATCAAGGTCAATGACACTGCATTAGAGGATGTAGAAAAGTTCATCTACTTAGGATCTACAATTGCTGCCAACCTATCTCTGGAGGTAGAATTCGAGAGGCGTCTATCAAAGGCTGCAATGATGATGGCAAGACTGAAGGACAGAGTGTGGGAGAACAACAAATTGACAGTAAAACAAAGATTAAAGTGTATGTAGCTTGTGTACTAAGTACGCTCTTATATGCCTCTGAGACTTGGACATCATACAAAAAAACAAGAGAAACAGCTTAATACCTTTCACATGCGCATTCTTCGACGTATTCTCTATATTAACTGGCAAGATAAAGTAAGCACTGCAGGATGTCATGATATTTTCACTACTCTTACTCAGAGGAGGTTAATGTGGATTGGCTATATAATCAGGATGGACTGTGAACGCATCCCTAAGCAACTTCTCTACAGTGAACTTGCACGCCGAAAATGCAATTTAGGCAGTCCCTTGCTGAGGTATAAAGATACATACACGTGACATCACCTCGGCTGGCACTGACGTCAAATCCCCCGAGTTACTGGCAAGTGGTAGAACATCATGTTCACACAGCGACTGAGGCAAGAGAGAACCTGTTCTATCAACACCAAACAGAACTTAGAAAAGCCAATAAAGCAAGAGGTCTCTCTCAAGAAACTACTGCTCTCTTTACCTGCCTCTCTTGTGGTCGTTAGTGCAATTCTAGGATTGGACTACACAGCCATCTCCAGCCCTGCCAGAAGACAAAATGACTAAGACAATTAGTAAAAGTTTAAAATAAATAAGTAATACAATTATAAATAAGGAAATATAATAATTTAATTATATATATATATATATATATATATGTGTGTGTGTGTGTGTGTGTGTATATAATATATACATAGTAACTTAAATTGCTGCATAGAAGGATTTGTATTTAAAATAAGTATTCAAACAAAGTTCTGTATCTGCTTAAAAACAAAATATTTATTGTACTAGTACTTTCGACCATAGGTCATTATCAGGTATGTATATGTAGGCTATGTGTATAACCAACTACATCCGATTTAACATTCGATGATCTCAGCACATCTTCTAGCCTTATCTCGATTTGAAATTGATACCTAATATTTAAAATCCTAAATCACTGATGGTATCCTTCGGTGAATTAAAGTGGTGAGCAACAGTGAAGGTCTTTTGTTGGTCGTTTGCTGGTTTTTGTGGTTGTTTAGTCTAAGTTCACATTCGGTTTCGCCTACATAATTGCCGTTATTACATTTAGTACAAAATAGTAGATAAACTACATTAGATGTATTACAATCTAGAGCCGGTGGGTTTAATGTCTGCTTGGTCCCTGGGACATTGAATTTAGTGCCAGGTGTAATTATGCGGCATAGTTGGCATCTGGGTCTGTTGCAAGGTCTATTACCATGGTCTGTAGAGCGAATGGGTAACTTGGAGCTAGTAAGCAGGGATTTCAAGTTGGGAGGTTGGCAGAAGATGGATGCTATATATATATATTAATATTTATATGAAAAAACTTTAAAAGTGACAAAAAAATAAACCCAGTAGCCATTTTGAAAACACCGTCAACGCTGATAACTTGACCTAGGCCTGTTCTTGCTTATTATTAGGTGCCTTCAGTTCCAAAAACAAGTCAATTTTACCTCTTAAAGTGACTATTTGTACTCTGTATTACCGGTATGTCTTCTTATGAGCTTTTAGGGGCCATTTTGAAAAGCGCCTCACAGGTTCACCCACCACTAAGCAATGTGCAGACAACCTAATTCCGAACCCTCTATAGGTAGGGTTTCTAAAAATAGTTGTCTCACAAAATTACCCGAGGGCCGGGGGGGGGGGATGGTGACAGCCCATAGTCTATGAAAATTGCACAAATTTCCTTTTAATACAGATGCTCAACCATAAAATCCCTTGTAAAACTATAGAGACAATTGGTGTTATGTTGCAATGTCTGATGGCATGGGCCTAATCCTATTTTGTCATGTTTTTAATTTTTTAAGCATTACAGCGCCAAAGGCGGTTCACTTCTTCAATGGCGTATCTATGGGAGTGTGCAGGAGGTGACTCCTACTCCCCCTAACAACACCCCCAGTCTCATCCATTTACCCGAAGCCAAAAAATATCAAAAAATCATGCTCAGGTATTGCCCCTCCTTAATCATTGAGCCCTTGTCCCACTTTACCTCCGCCCCACTGCCATCATCCCCTCCCTTATTCCAACATTCCTAGAACCACTGGATTCAGACACATCTCCATAATGAAAACTTCACGACAGAATTCCCACTTGATTCTTTAGGATATAAAGAAGGCCTACAGTAAATTTAACCATGATAAAGTAGTTCAGGATAATAATCAACCACTGAATAATTCTCAGTAAATTTAATTTTCTAATATTCTATGATTATGTGAAAAGGCCATGCTCACCAAACGTAATATATGCCTAATAATTAATGACAAAAATCATCCACCAAACAACAATGTTAGTTTTAGCCTATCTGGAAGAATTATCACACCAAATTACAAAACAAATACTTCTCAGTGCTATTCGTTTAGCAAATATTAAATTTAGTAGGTAATTGTATACCTGTTTTCATTGTTTACTGTATTTAGGCCTATATATATTGTATACACTCTAGTGTAAATATACTTATATTGTGTTTTGTGACTGTCATATAGATAGAAACGTATCTTGTATGTATGTATGTACATATGCAGGCGCAGATCCAACATTTTCCTTGACCTTCGCACAGATGGGGTGGTCACTTGCAATGGTGGATCCAGAAATTTGAAATAGAGGAAGCCAGAGAGGGAGCTTCACAGATAGACACCTCAGCCTCATGACTGGGAATGAGTGAAAAAAGTATGATTATGTCACTTCTAGATGGCCTGAAATGGCACGCAGAGAATTTGAATAATTTTTTTTTCTCTATTCTGTAAAAATAATATTGAAATATTTACGGGGCCCGGGCCGACTGGGTTCCCCTTGAATCCTTCACTACATGGGGAATCACATAAGGTGACACAGGGTTTTAAAACAAATATTGCTAATTTCGGCATTTCTATAAAAAGATAAACAAACAGATCCTTAAGATTACAAGAAAGATATCTCTGAAAACAATAATTAAGCCAAATATATTTTCATTTGTTTTGTTGTTCATATGTGAATCTCTAATTGGTTATTACCAATTTAAAACAATGATTAAAACACGTGTCATTTTAGTGTTGGTCTAATTAGATATGGCTACATTTACTTTGTTGGCAAAATATGAAGTATACGGCACTACTGCTGAAATCATATTAAATTGGTTAATTTGCATAATTCATTAAGTTGGCTTTCAACTGATAGTTTTTATTTAAAAAAGATTTTGTACACAAAATAAACGTATATGAAACTCTGCAACATTCCTATCAAGGGTGGCGACAGCGTCGGGGAAATATGACCCCTCGTCGGGGGAGGGGGAAAATCGGACCCCCCCCCCCCCAGTCAGGCAAATGACTGTGCCCATGTAACATCGCCGCCAATGGCAATGTACGGACTGGGCGACTTCTGATTAGTAGCTGTGTAACGTTTTCATGTACTGTATTATTATGCGCTTTATGGAAGACAATAATGTTAAGGAAATATATTATACCTCTTCAGGTAGGGCCTACAATACAATCAATGTAAAAGTGTAAGATATAGGCCAAAATTTGATTTAAACAAATGTCCTAATGGTAATGTTAAAAATAACTTGTAAATATATGTACGCATGTGCGGAAAATTAAGTATGGTTGTTGGAAAAATGGCCAACATTATATTATTTATTTCTCACCCTGACCTTCGCTACGGCGAACGGTGCGAATGTCGAGATCCGCACCTGATGTAAAATAAAATTGTATCTGAATCTGATTTTGTCATTTTTGTTACTCCATTTTTACCAGAGCCATTTTTACTGATCATAGGACATTTAGCCATAATGTATTTCCCTTCACTTGAATCTTAGGTGTTGTAGGTGACCAAATTATGTATTATTTTTTATACAATACTATTTTATCTATTTCTCCAATGAAAGACATTAGACCAGTGGTAAACTGTACCAGTCTCTCGGAATTTACCTGCCAGTGCAAATGGAATATAGTAAATGGAGTACACTACACATATGAAATCCGAACGCACGGGTAAGTTGCATGTTATCATTAGAGAGCTTTCGATTGCACGACGACGGTAGGGCGTAGAACGTAATGACCTCACTAAAAGTCATCTGCGCATGCAAGAACGCTAAGTTCTCCTCGTCGGGTGGATTCAAGACACAATTTAGCCAACTCATGTGTGGACGGTCACACATGAGTGGTTCCGCTCTAGTGTCGTGTCGAACAAAGCAAAAGCTCCCTAATATTGTCATTATTACCCAGTCAGACTGTTTACTACAGTTTTCTGAACGTTCTTCTGAGTCTTCCGATTCTTACCCAGTCAGCCGTCGACTGGGGTCGGTACTATTTTCGTAGCGTTGTTCTGGTTCTTCTTCATCATGCAACATTTTACAACACCACTAGTGGCAAAAGATTGGGTAGATTTTAATCTAACTTGGTCAGTAGAATGGGGACACCTCCCAAACATTGGCTGTTCACCATTCGGAGTCAAAGGTTACATCGGTCATTAGGGTCAAAACCCCACAAATTGATTAAAGTCTAATTATAATAAGGACGCTCACCGTGTGTCCTTATTACATTACAGTATATGACTTAGCATGGTCCAATGAGATCATATTTACTAGGAATAATTTGACTGGGTTGATGTTCTACTGGACATAGTGATTATCATTATTAATACTATTATTATTAGGCCTATAACATAAAATGCTAAAAGACAACATCAAGAAAGTGCCTATGTCTACAAGTGAAATTCTTTTTAACAGGACAATTCCATGGACCCTACAGATACCACAGACTCACAGTGGCATAGCGAGTACAAGTGTTATTGAGGCGAAATTATATCAAGACAACCTCCAAGATATTCGAGTTAACGCAACCAAGGACATTAGTAGTGCTTCATGGATTACTACTCATGATATTATGCGCAAATGTGAGAAATACTAATGTGTTATTGCATGCAACTATTTCATACAGTATCAAAACCACAACTTGTTAATTGATTTTTATAATTCTGCTGAATATATTATACAAATGTTTCTTTAATCTTAGGCCTCAGAAAACACAAAATTGTGCTTCTACAGACATAATGGCTTTTCAGCTTACTCCTTTTCCTCAAGTCAAAAAGAAAATTTAGGGGTCACTCTTGCCATAGTATGTATAATAGGTCTCCACGAAAATTGTTTTATTAAAATCATTATGCCTACTAAAATTTAAAAAAAAAAGCTCGGTCTGTCTTAATAAGCCATTGAACCGATTATATGATATAATTCACCTCTATACCGTAAGCGCACGAATAAGCGCCGCGGCGCTTATACAATTTTTTCGAAGCTTCAATGCGGCACTTATTTGAGAGCGGCGCTTATTAAAAAAAAATAAAATAAAATACCGGCCTTCCAAGCCCGTTCCCATGTTACCTATTTCACGTATTCCCGTAGTTCGGTAAGCCTATCATAGGTCATACATCATCATAAATAAACGTTTATAAAGACATGTTTGTGTTTTCATTGTGTTACTTATTCATTTTAACACTGTAGGCCTATATGATACATTGTATTTAAAACCCTGTTTCTCAAGGTGTTTTATAACACACAGGGTAATGTATTACTCTCGATTAAGCGCCGCAACGCTTATTCAAGAGCGGCGCTTAACGAAAAAAAATCACGTTTGGTGCGGCGCTTATTCGAGCACTTACGGTAGGCCGTTTTAAAAACCGACGCGATAGTTCCCATTTTAAAGGTAAAGATTATAATACTATACAGTAATTTATATTGGTAGCCAATTATCTGATATTAAATGTTGCTCATTCCAAAATATCGTCTCTCCTGCGTGATAACATATGAAATGTAACAATTCTATAATTTACTTTTTTGGTAGGCCTAGCATATTAAATTTTGCTCATTCCCAAATATTGTATCTCTTACATACCAAAGTATATTATTATTATTATTATTATTATTATTATTATTATTATTATTATTATTATTATTATTATTATTATTATTATTATTGTTATTATTATTATTATTATTACTATTATTATTGTTATTATTATTATTATTATTATTGTCAATAGTATTATTATATTAAAATTAATTTTTCTTTAATATTATTAGTGAAACCAAATATAACATATAAAGAATCGACAATGACGGCCACTTCAGCCACAATAAAATGGAGAGGAAATAGTAAGCCTGAATATTGGGAATTCCTATCACAGTTTAAATACGAAGAGTGCGATGGTGAAACAAATGAAACGTTCAGAATGGTAATATTATAGTAATAATTATAATTCTTATTGTTATAATTTCGTTATCATTATCATCATCTTTGTCATCGTTATTGCCATTATCACTATTATTATCATTATCATCATAACCATTATCATTATTATTATTACTATCATTATTTTTATTATTATCATCATCATCTTCATCATCATCATTTCAGTTATAATTATCAGTATTATTACCATCATCTAATTAAAAATATTTTAGTAGCAGTAAGAGGAGATTTTACATTTTAATACTTTTTACTAAGCATGTAAGGGTAGCTCTTTGCTATCAATATTTTTGTACTGCAAGTAGCAGTAAATGGAGCTTTTATTTTTAATATTTTTACAGCAAGGGAGCTCTCTACTATCATTTATTTTTTCTGCAATTAGCAGTAAGCGGAGCTTTTCAGTAGCCGCCGAGAGTGGCAGTGAGCCCCGGGGGCAGTTTTGCTGCACGGGCCCATTGGGGTCTGGGGGAGCGCAGCCCACAATGGGGTCAAGGGACAAGTCCCTGGCGGGGGCCGGTGGAGTACCCTGCCCCCGGAAGTTTCGGCCTTTTAACGGTAGAGGAATAATTTAATCGATTATATAGTGCTTAATTTCACAAAAAACCAAAAGGTCCACTGATTAATCTCAGATATGATAATATAATACATACTCCAAGTTCGGAAATGCACGCCATCGTGTCGGGATTCAATATTTCGACATTAATTATGTCATCATCAGGAATGAAAAATTATCCATATTTGCAAGCTTATATACCAAAAGTGATTGACCAATCAAAACATTAGCCCTAGTACGTGACATAGTTATGAATAAACTAAAGATTAAAGCATTCTTACCCTACTGATCAAAGCTACCTACAAAAAAAACAAAAAAAACTTAATTTCACCAGGTCATTAAAAATAAAGAATGGAAACATGAAAAGTAAAAGCTGCCCTTCCTTTTATTCAACCGTCAACCTGAAAAGATTCATAACATAGGTATCAAAGTGTACAGTGGCGGATCCAAGAATTTGATATAGATGGGGCCCAGAGAAGACTTTCACAAATGGAGGGTCTATCTACCTCAGCCCCACCATCATCGGGTCTGAGGTAAGACGATTTATGATTATAGCACCCTTGGGCGGCCAGAAATGACACTCTGAGTCTTAAATTTGAGTCTTTTTTTTCACAATTTTTGCTAAATTTGGAAAAAAAAGTTAGGGGGTGGGGGCTGGGCCTCCCCTTAAATCCACCACTTGTCTAATTATTCAGTATTTATTTGAAAATCGAATCTCTATAGGTCTATTCGTATTTTCTTACTTGCATGTATATTGACAATGTACAGGGTCAAAATGTTGATAATTAATAATTAATAACGTAAAGAATTTACTATTTAATACATTGTAAACATAAACGCTAGAGTAGTAGAAGTCATGAAAATGTTCATGAAAAAGAATTAGAACGGATTAATTACGAGCTTTTATCGATAAACGGTCAGATTTGTTTACAATTCTCTTGAAAAAAAACATGAATGATACTGGATGAATGTAAATGCTTAATATTTTTTATTTATCTATTTTATTTTATTATTTTTTACTTATAGTTATCCCGGGCCATTGCCAGGCCCGGGCCCCGAGGCACTTGCCTCGGTTTTCCCGGCCTCTCAGCACCACTGGAGCTTTCAATACTAATATTTTGTTATATCAAATTTTGTCTCATCCCGTCTTGATTACTGCAATTCTCTCTTTTTATTTTACGCACTTCCTAATTCTCAAATTTAGTCTCCAGAGGCTTCAAAACTCCGCTCCACAAATTATAACATTCGCAAAACGTCGATCTCACATCACCGCTGTTGGCCGAGACCTCCAGTAGCTTCCATTGATTCCCGCATTAAGTTCAAAATCTTGCTACTTGCTTTTAAAACACTTCTAGAGGGAAAAAAGGAAGTGTACCCATAAGTTTAGTGGCGGATCCAGCAGAGGGCGAAAGGAGAGCTCGATTATTTTACCATTCAATAAATTTTGAATTTTCTATTGATTGACAACGAACTCAACGCTATATCCCCGACACATAAATCAGGATTAAAAAGGCCAAAAGAGGAGACCTAAAGACAGATTTTTTTTTTGTTAGCCGGAATGTAGTACCAAGATCTGCAGGCCACCAAACCTTAAAGGTGCCCCTTTGGTTCCTCTATACTCGCTACACCACCCTGATTCTAAATGGCTTTGTAATACATAACAGCATAATGTGTCTCTGAGAGCGAATGTATGACATATATCATATTACTCTAGTGGGGGTGGGATGACCAGCCGGCCAGGGCCACCCTACATATTCATGTCAAAATAAAAAATAAAATACATTATATATTCAATTTTTTAAGTCTGAATGGGTGCCATTTCTGGGCATTTAGAGGTACCAAAATCAAAATTTGCTTTGCGACTCTCAGTATAGATCGGACTATAGGTCCTTGATTAGACCTTTGCGACAGCCGTGAGGGGAGGGATGTATCTAAGGGAGAGGGAGCATAGCTCCCGTCGAAGGGAAGTCAATAATTTGTTGTCGAGGAACACTGCTTTGAAAAGTATATTTTTACCATCTGTGAGTGCCATTTTCTAGCGTCTAGAGGGTCTTGTTCTTAAAATTTGCTTACCTCAGCCCCAACCAAAGTGGGGCTAGAGGTGGGCGTGGAATACCTACTGGGCCCCCGTCAGAAAATGTCTGGATCCGCCCCTGAATGGCCATAGTATCCAGTATAGTCGGTGCGGTTCCGACGGGCATGACAAGCAAATCCTTTGTATATTTTCACTAAAGAGGAGTATATATACCAAAGGTGCTATCATGCATTATTGATATTTATTGTTAATAATATTCTTGTGAAAAAATTATCTGCTCTGTAAATAAATGCAAAATAATGCCTTAGGAGATCCTTAAAATATTCAAAAAATAATTATAAGAAATAATCTCTACTTTAATTTATTCACTGTATTGCATGGAGTAATCACCGCAGGCGTTCTTCACTTTTGTTTGTACTGTTTTGGATATAAAATATCCAGCAGTGAAATTAGTTAGTCCTTAAATGTAGACATTCCGAATTGTAGTCTGAAGGTTTTTCATTAAAATATGTTACATTTTTCCTGCAGTTACCAGATCAAATTGACGTAAACAGTCTTATTACGAAGACGATAGACGACCTTAAGCCATATAGATTTTACAAGTTCGGCATTCGAAGTCGGTATACTCGTCCAGGTAACGGCTACACTGGTTGGACTTACGTGGTACTTAGAACGAATGAAAGTAGTAAGTACAGTATTTTTACCTCCACCACTGTCTGTAGTGCTCCGCCTATTTGTTAGCTAGATTGCGCAAAAAGTAAGAAGTTGATCATCAAATTTAGTGAATGTTGCTTAATAAACTAAGAAAGTTTTGCAAGAAAAAGTGAAAAACAAGGTCAAGCTCACAGATCAATTGTTTTCCCCGTGAACTTACCCTCGAGCATAAAAAAAAAATGTCGGAGTGAAATCTATTTTTTTATTATTTGTTTTAGACCAGTTGTGGCGCCAGAGGGGGCTGGGGCTATAGCCCCCCCCCCCTTCGGGGAAGACGATAAGTTTTGTCGGGGAACAAACAAATAAAAAAAATATTTACATGTAATATTCGTTTAGCCACCACAATAACCACAATAACAATAATAATAATAATATTAATAATAATAATAATAATAATTCAATGAGACTAATTAAAAATAATTTGCGTTCTGTTATGATAAATGCTCATTTAGATAGCCTCATGATGGTTGGAATACATCGTGATAGGTGAAGCAACCTCGACCATGACAACGTGGTTGACAGATTTCATGCAAAATTTCCAAAATATGGAATTTCACTTTCAAGAATGAGGATTTGAAAATAAATTAAATGGTTACATTGCATACTCTTTGTTTCTTGCTTTATTCAAAATGTTTTGGTTTTGGAAGCTGATGTCAACATTAGAAAGCATAGCATACATGAAGTTATATTATAGTAACTCGATGCCTATCAAATAAGTAATAAAAATTTGCCATAATTCATCAAATATCCGTGGCTTCCACCGGGGGCACTAGGCGGCCCCCTGGCCCCCAGCCAAGTGAGACTCGATTCGCTCCACTAGCCCCCCCCCCGTCGGGGCCTTTAGCCCCTCCGTCGGACAGGTCCTGCCGCCACCCCTGTTTTAGACCAGAGCCATAAATATACCAAGTGGCATATACATTAACAATGCAAACATACACACGTGATGCTCTGCAGTCTTCATAAACGAAGTAACATTATCAGGATTAAGGAGCAGAGTAGTTTTTGGTAGTGAGAACAACTCTTAAAACCCAGGATCGAGCCTTTGATTGGAAGGCAAGATTTTTAACCACCAAGCTATCCAACTGCATTCTATATAATAATCATATATAGGCCTAATGTTGTCAATTAATATTGCAGCCACAAAGAAATAACTCTTGATGTTTTTCCCAGAATGATGACAATTAAAAAGCTGCGGAGCTCTTTAATATCAATTCATTTGTTTTTTCAGACTAAATTTTAACACTATAATTATAGAGGGTGAGCATTCTAGCGTATCCTAAAGATCGGCTGATATTCAGAGGCCCTCTCACCTAAACATAATAATGTGACTCATTACTAGGCTTGGAATTGTGTTTTAATAGTGAGAAAAAAAATCCTGTGCTGTCAGAAAGAGTCCTGTGCTGTCAGATGAGTTCGATCAAAAATTGAGAGAGCCAACCCCTTTAACCTTTAACCCCATGATCTGAGCCCAAGATTGAACCAATGACACTGGGATTATCTCTTGATATGGTGTATTCTGTTGTGTTGTGTTGGTGCACCTAGTTGTGTAGTAAGGATTTTTTTAAACTTCGGTAGTATTAAATTTACTTTTGACAACTGTGATACTATTTCAGGACCATCAAAGGAAGTACAGTTTGAGATAGAGAGTCAAGAAGATGATACCTTGCTCAAATGGAACGTAAGTTTTTACTGATTTAACCTTATACCTTTTTATAATAGGCATAATAATTATACATTATTATAACTAAAACGAAACGAAGTGCAGACGAAAACTGACTTCAATATTATCCTACTCACCATGATTAAGATTATGTTTTAATGTATTTCTATATCATAATGTCATCGTTTAAAAGAATTACTTAACTATTAACTATTTTATAGGATGTTCCTAAAGAAAGTCAAAATGGTAAAATCTTGGGCTACACAATATACGTGAACAGTGAAAGCTATGACGTCGATGTCAATAATACAGAGTATTCGCTCAAAGGTAAGGCCTATAGATGACAGTGTCCGTGTTCACCTGAATGACAAAAATTATTGTGCTGCCCTAACACAGTATAACATAGGCTCCAGGTTTGACCAACCAATAACTAGGGCTATGAGTTCTTTGTTAGGCCAAACTATCACCCACCTAATGTGACATGGTTAAAATTCAAGATCGGGGTTTAAAATTTAATATATCATGGTATTTTGGGCTCCTCCTTTGTAAACAAAATAATTTCTAAATTTTCTACTTATGAGATTGAGGGTGTGTACACACACGCGTGTCCACTGACAGATACAATACTAAAAATATCACGGGAACACGAGAAACTGCTAAGAATACTCCATAAATAATTATTATTAAATATATCGTTGCTCATACTCATAATAAATTTCTCATATAATTATTTTAAATGTCCTTTTTTTACAAATGTTTATGAATTTATAATCATAAATATTATACTGTGTGATTATCATTGTTATACATTGTATTCTATATCTCCTTATATTTTAAAAGTCTATGTTATTACAATATTGGTTCTTTAACTTATAGACTAAAGACTAAATGAAATTCTTCAAATATTACAATGTTATACTTGTTAACATATCGTTATATTGTTACAATTATTATTATTACTATTATTATTATTATTATTATTATTATTATCAAACTCAGTACTATTATTTATTAGTATTAGTATTACTATTATGATAATAATTATTATTGTCATCACAGTGTCATAAATATATAAATATTATTTTATTATAAAGATATAAATATTATTTTATTAAATAGCTCTATAATGTATTTCTATATATAAATACATTATTATTTGTTTGATAACATTTCATTGATTTGATTGTTTTGTTTGGTTGGTTGGTTTTTCGGTTGGTGATGGATGAAATATAGACACTATTGGTACTATCATATATACATCCATAATTCATAATTAATGCAATAATTGATGATTTTTTTTGTATCAAGGAATGCAATAATCATTGATTTTTTTTTTTATTTATTTTTTTTTGCATCAAGGAATCGGTGGCGGCAACTACAACGTTTGCATCACGGCCTCCAACAGCGCAGGTGAAAGTCCAATTAACTGCCAACCAGTGAATTTAACAACACAAATGGAATTGAGTTCAACAAAACCACATGAAGGTATATCTAATTATAATATAAATCTGTGATAAATAATAAATGATATATGCCTAATATGATTTATATTGTTCTATCCGTCTGTTATATCTATACGTAACGATGCTTTTGGCGCATCCACTATTTAAATTTATATTAAATACTTATACCAAATAATGCATATTTATAAAGTATAAAGCAATAAACAAAGTCACACGACCACAAAAGGTCAAAAGGTAAAAAAAAAAATCAAACTCACTGAAGGTTGCCATTGTTGGAAATCTCTCAAATATTTGCGACTGTGTAGTAGTCCATATATTTTCCAGTAAGTGTCTAATTATGGCATGTTAAAAAAACAAAACAAAAAACAAAACCTTTAGTAGATGTTGGCCCATTATTGTCCGGGAATATAAACAATCAGTCAACCAACCAACTAACTTGACAGTTTTCATAGTCCACAATAACTTTAATATAACTTTTAACAGTTCTGAACTTCTAAAGGATCAGAAAAAACTTTGAATGACGTGCAGAACCAACAATAAATAAGAACATAAACTAATTGTCCTCAGCCAGGAGGAAATTAGCCTACTTGCCCTAATTGGATATTTGCTGGGCAATAATTATGGGAAACAGCTCAGTTTCTGCTATTATAAATTACTCAACCAAAGCTTCAAAGTATGTAATAGTCTAATTAAGTCAAGTAAACAAGTATTGCCTCCTTCAACTCTTTTGCATAAAGTAAAATAAATGTTATTTTAGACCAGAACGTCTTGAGTTATGATAGTTTGATTCTACTTTTGGTTTCTTACTGTATTACATAATATTTGTGACCCAAGCTCACAAACAGGCTGTAAACTCGCACAGCACTGTATTGAGAAACAAGCCTCAATAGCCAGAACATGCCATAAAATATGAATTTCGTGTAAATTGGGTTTTTGTGTAATAAATAAAATATAATTATTAATCTTCCTCTTCCTGAAGTTTGAGTTTAAAATTCAAACTGTAAAAGGCAAAATTAAGCGATTTTCAAATGGGAGTTAGTAAAAATGAATAGGAAATTGCAAAAAATAAAAGCATTTTTCTCAAAACTTGATTTAAGAAAGTTGAGAAGATGACAATTATTCAAACGGTCATAAATTTGCTTCCAGACACCCGATTGAGTTCATTTAACTGTCATTTTAAAGTAAATGATATGTTCTATGCCATTATAACAAAAAATAATTTTGGCTTGAGGACGAGTGAGCTTGGGTCACATTTGCAGTTCCAATAAATTGTCCTTTTGTCCTTACTCATTACTAAGTACGATATAGGCCTATTTACTTGTAAAATTAAAAAAGTTAGCCCAAATAGAGGCTCTTGACACGTTACCGATACACTTAATAATAAAGTTATTCCACAGAATTGAAAAACTTACTTACAAAAGAAAACAATAATAAAAATTTAATAAGAAATGGGAATGCATAAATTATTATAATACAAATAAAATCACTGCACTGTAGGAGCGGCGTGGGGTTCTGAGCCTGGACCCCTACGCGATTTTGTCCCGCGTTGGGAGTCCAAACCACAACCAATGCGCCAACCACTTCTACTATTAATAAAGGCTGGACATTTTAAGGTGTCATTGCACTATGTTTTATCTTAATATTATCACAGGAATATATTTCCATAAAATATGGATTCATAAACACATAAGCAACCACACTCTATTTTTCTCGCATACTTTCTTTCTTAATGTGTTTTTTTCCTTCGCAGAACCGAAGCTAATACGATTGTGAGTTTCCTACCTATCAGGCCCATTTACATGCGACCAGACCTCTGATTGACGCACTGCGCGTCATAAACTTCAGTGGTGGTCCTTTCCTATCATTTGAATTTATTTCTACCCAGAGTCATTGGAAAGTCCGCTGTACCCATATAAACAGCGCAAGAACCTCTTAAATTTATAGTAGGATACAGTATTACGTTTAATATTACACCTGCACATGATGGCCTAGTTGACGGCGGTTGTGCAGTAGCAGATAGATTACTGTATTACATTTATAGATATTCATAAATGCTGCATGCTTTGATACCAGGAAATTATGAGGTACATTTTCAAAAAAAAAAGAATATGCGGAAATGATACGGTGCAGTTCTGAGCCACATTAAATTGCTGTTTGAAAGAACCGCTGAGAAACATTTCTTTTTAGCACGCCATTAGATGACCGAAAATGTAAAAACTAAATTATAAAATACTTGTTACTACATCTCAAATACAACGAATTACATATTTTATTTTAAATTAATTTATCAAAGTATATAAAAATAGGCATGTTTACTACGAACCACTATTTCCAAAAATATAAGACATGCAGTG